AAGTGTGCAATATAAATAAAGAAGACATACTGTACTTACTTATGCGTGCTCTTATGTCATAACTATACTGTACATAACATGGTAATATCATTCTATGGCCACATCTGTCCTTGGGTGGACTGATGTAAAGACAAGACTCAGATAAGTCCAGTAATTACCAATAAACTACTTTCATATGGAAACAAGGTCCACAAAGTCCCCAGTGCAACACCAACTCACATTAAATTACTAAACACAAGGTAAAAAATATACATATCAACCATGAAACCCGTTCTGTTTTGTTTGTTCATTCTACACCTAAAGCATTATGCGTCACATATTGAGAGAAAAAATCCCAGTGCAGCTGCAAACAAAAACATAACCATTCATCTTTCCGCGTTATTATTTCTGTATTTGTTCTGATAAAAGCCGGCAGAATCTGACACCGGCCTGTTGATTGGGGAGAGTTTTTCCACAGTGCATTCAGTGCTTGGATGCACCTCATTTAGATTCTCATGAAGCCAAAGTAAACCTCAGCTGATTTTACGTGGATGCAAATTGATGTTAGAAAGGAAGTCTCGGAAAGTGTTGTGCATAATGCGACGAGGCGGACGAGCGGAGAACCAGGACGGGGCTGGAGAGTAAGTGCGGAGCAGAAACACACGCTTTACACATCTCTCATCAACATCTAAAATGAACAATGATTTCATCGTGATCAGGATTTAGAATAACAATGACTCATTCTGAGTTAAGGATTAGTTATCAATGTGTATGTGATCAATATAAATGGATAATGAAGAGTTGTGGTAGTTCATGATGAGTCCCTCTTGCCTGGTTTTCATCATGAGTACTGTATGCCGAGTTCAAGTTCACTGCAAAACTTATGATGATCATCTCTGACACTAGGACTCCCAGAATGTGTGACTGCTCCCACTCAAAAATGTGGAATTCTGAAAAAAATTCCCTAAAAAGTTAGATTGTTTTCCTCCAGTTTTAATAAAACCAAGAATCGATAAGGTCTTTACCTTTACTCACTTAATGTAAAGTGCTAAAACTTTTGAATTTGACTGAAATATAGCTAAAACAGCCTAGCACCAGCTCTTCTCCGAACCTTCTCAGAACCAGAACCGGTCATGGACCAGGACCTTGGAGAAATCAATCTTTAAAAATGAGGAGTTCTAGTGTTAATGCAGGTAAACCATTCATGTCATGAATCATTAGCATGAGCTCTTGACAGATTCATGAATTACTGTGAACTCATGGGAAACATTATTGAACTCATCATGAACTCATCGTGGATTAATGCATGACTCATCATGAATGACTGATTAAATCATGTACAGTATGTCTAGTTTCTGAGAAGCGCAAGACTGAGACACCCACAGTTCGAGAAGGAGCACTACTGCAGGGTCTTTATCCCCACTGCTGTCAGACTGTACAATAAGTCACTGTAAGTCACTAATGCACCTGGACTGAAAAAAACTTGCACTGCTATTGCCCCTCTTTCATTTTATTGCCACTTTTTTATTGAACATAATTATATCATGCACAGACTATATTTTGGACCTTAACCTGTCTTTTGCACATTCTGAGTGATTCTATCCATGCCAAATGTGACATGTAAATGTGTCCAGTGTGAGATCAATAAAGTCTATCTTATCTCACCTCCTGGATTTATTTTCTAAATCCCTCATATATTGAGGATTCCCACAACTTGCACAGTCTCTTTTGCCCGAAGGAAATATCCTCGCCTCACAGCTTGGGCTGCGATGGAGAAGAGAGTTTGATGTGACCACGTTACCATCTCTGTGTGCACTGTAAAAAATTGCCTTGTAGAAAAACGGTAAATTGCTGGCAAATATGGTTCCAGGAATTTACCGTTTTCTCAACATGGTATTACCATTGCTAATTTTAACGGTTAAAGACTGTTTTACTGAATCACATTATGCCTTTGTGATTTCAGGATTTAACTGTATGTTCCTGTTCATTCACATACAACAAAAACAGCATTATAATTATTTTGTATTATTACACCATATGACTGTTTCTGTTTCTAATCAGTTTCATTGAACAAAAAACTACAGTTTAATTTGTTTAACTTATGACGGGTTTTTAAATAAAAAATTGTGGATGTCAAAATTGCATGACAATGTCAATCTGAAAGAGATTCCGGCAAAAAAAATCCTATATTTTATAAAAAGAACGTGTTTTTCACGAATTTAAGTTGTCTATGCTCTAACCCAGGCATGTCAAAGTCAAATACATCAGAGGGCCAAAAAAACAAATTTGCTGCGAGCCGAGGGCCGGACTGGTTCAATGTTTATTAACTCATTGCCTGCCAGCCTATTTCAGAACAGGTACTCCCATATTGCCAGCAGTTTCTGATGATTTTTATTGATTTTTCAAGACCCACAGAATATTGTGTACTATGACTATCTGAAATCCGAAACCAGATTCTGAAAAAATAGACTGTCTACTTTCATCAGAAAAAAAAATTTTGTTTCTAGCTTGTAATTCCCAGTTGAGTAGAGGGAAGTTTTACTGAAATCACCAAAAAGCTGAGAAAAAGAGGCACAACAAGTGCATCTAGCTGTTTTCAAACCATCCAGAGAGCGCTGCTGCCACCTGCTGGCTCGATTCAATATGCTCTCAAGCTTATCCCCAAACATATTACATATAATAGACATCTGGGAACATGAAAATAGCGGGAAACGCAATTGACGTAATAGTGCGTCAATGGCAGGCAACGGGCCATGTAAAATTCATTCGCGGGCCGGATTTGGCCCGCGGGCCTTGACTTTGACACCTGTGCTCTAACCTGTGTGTGACGTCATAGCGGGTAACGCCCATGCATTGAAAACCATGGATCTATGCCACTGGACTGCCTTTTCTCTCTTCTCTCCACTGATGCCCAACACAATACTGCCCTCTACAGGTGACAATTGCTCACTACACATAAATTGCCGTTTGAGAGTGAAAAGGTGTCTGAGCTGGGATTTGAACCCCAGTCTCTGGATTGGCAGTCCATTAACAACGAAATGTTACAATCTAGTAGTTATATCATACTCGCTGTACACGGCCTTGTCATCTTGAATATCCGCGAAAAAAGAACGAATACCAAATTGTAAACAACTTACAGCGTTGAAACGTACCCGTTCTGACGTCACCAAGGGCTGTGAAGTTTTTTCGTTTCTAAGGGCGTTGCTATGGGGTTATTTCGATTTGGGGGATCAGACAAAAAAAACAACTGATTTTGAAACCTTTAGTAGTTCTCTTCTAATATAAAATGGTATTAAAACTGTATTTCTAGATAAATCAAACCCGTCATAGGGTCTTTAATGAACACAACTTTTCAATTTTTCAACATCTTCAGTTTATACAAGAACATTGTTGAATTATTTACTTCTATAACATGCTTAATGCAAAAGTATCATTTTAACAAAAGCATGTGTAAGAGGTTCCTTTTAAACTCATGGTTGCTCGCTAGCAAAAATTTCCCAGCATTCCAAAAATACAACAAGTTTATGTTAAATTACGGTAATAATACCATAAAATCACAATGTGATTATTAATCACATTGTGATTTTATGGTATTGTAAAAAAAAATTGTAATCACATAATTGTGGTAATAAAACGCCACTGGATGTTTTTAACCCATTTATACTTAAATTTGCATGTTTTAATTGTTTTTCAAAATAACATTCGTTTAATGTTGAAATTTCATTGTAATTTTACAGAAATGTGTTACAGTGTGTGGAGTGCTTTGTGTGACCTTAGTCTGTGAAATGCACTGTACAAATAAAGAGTGGTTACTTATGTACTTGTTATCTTTTGTCATAATACTGTGGTAATTCTTTAACCATAGCTGTCCTAGGTAGAGTGATGTAATAGCTCCATCGGAGAAGTATAACCTTCCAGCAATTACCCGTACACTACTTCCATAACCACACACAGTCGAGCTCAATGCAACAATAACATTATGCATCCAAATCTGTGCAAACAAAAACATCACTATTCATCTGTGTTTTTATTTCTTCTTTTGTTGTGAATAATAATAAAAAAATATTAACATAGATACTCACACCAACTAGTTGATTTGAGCAAGAGTTTTTGCACAGTGCATTCAGTGCTTGGATGCACCTCATTTAGATTCTTGTGAAGTCAAAGTAAAGCTCAGTTTATTTTATGCAGATGCAAATTGATAGAAAGGAAGTCTTTCGAAAGTGTTGTGCATAACGCGACGAGGCAGACGAGCGGAGAAACAGGACAGGGCTGGAGAATAAGTGCTGAGCTGCAAACAGAGTAAACAATGTGTTTCTCTTGTAGCGCCCTATATTAACACAAGAGGTAGGAGTGAATTCTTTACACGATTATTTCACCTGGGAATTGATGAGCAATACATCTGCTTTTGTTTCTGGTAAAACATGTTCTGAGTGTGATGTCATAGTGGTACAGTGACATCATACTACTAGAAGACCGAGACCAATTCTTTTAGATAAAAGGGCCGAAGTTACATGTTTATACCAGAAGTTCCTGATATTAGCCTGGATGGATCTAAAAACAACTCCAAGTCTGTTTTTAATGTGGGACAAATGTTGCAGTAACATGGTTAAACAAAAATACATTGGTTTGAATGGGAGCAATCAAAAAGACGGCTCTGGGCGGTGTGGTAGTTTCATGGTCAAGCCTTGGACATGGGCGTAACAAGTCTAACCCTAACCCATTACACACAGTGCATGTGTCTTTAGCTTGTTTCTAGATAAATATGTAAAATGTATGAAAAATCCTGACTTGCAAAGTACAGCACACCCAGATGATATATGTCAACCACCTACAAGCCAGTGACCACATTTCCCTGTTTCAGACTATTCACATTATTCATACAACAATGGCTATCTCAGAGACCATTTAGATTAATGCATAATAGATCTCCATCACAGCCACAATGCAGCACTTTGTTCTGTGTGCTTTACGCTACCACCTTTCTCTACTCACGCTGCATGTCCCCTGTGCATTCCCAGGGCCGACCCGCAGAAGCTGGACGCATTCATCATGGACAAGGCCCTTTTAGACTACGAAGTGTCCATCGACGCGGACTGCAAAACCCTAACAGTCGGGAAACCATTTGCCATTGAAGGTGAGGGCGCCTAAAGTCTGCCAACTCTCATGTTCTAAGCACAGCAGGTATTTCTCTTTAATTGTGGCAAAGGAGCTCTTTTGCGTTCCAGACCTCCTAAATTTAAGACTATCAGTGTCTCTGCAGTGCAACAATACTTAATCTTCTGGCTTTCAAAAGATTATTTAGGGTTAGCCGTAGCGTTAATCTTTGGTCCATTTAGCAGGCTTCTTCCGCCCGGTGCGAGAGCGTATTTCCCCAGCGGACACTTCCATTACTGGCATCCACAGCCGCAAATACCGCCGCTGCTGTTAATTACTTAATGCTTCTCTAAGCTTTCGGGATACAATGCAAATCAATGAGCACAGTTCGAATAAAAGCAAAGGTACTTGTGTAATCAGCTAAAGCAGAGTTTGAGTCTCATCAGGTTTGCTACTTTCAAATTTAACAACTGTTCTTTCCAAAGATACCCTATTGATGATAAACCTCACGTACCTAATTCAATGACTAATAGTAGTAGTAGTAGTAATAGTCAATGGTTAACTATTTAAAGGGACTGTACCTAATATTTTTACTTGAATTGCATGAGTCCCCAGATATCAGTTCAACTTGTAAATACAATAAAATACAATACATTAGACATGTGTAAACCTATATACTGTATAATGGACGTTTTGTTTATTTAAAAAATAAGCAGATTAACCAATCAGAAGCAAGAAAGAGGCTGCCCTTTGAGTTGGCCTTTTGTTAGGCTGCACATACAACTGAAGGATGGTATCTACGCTCTTTTGAATGTGCTGTGATTACCATTACTACACTATGATTTTAATATTTTATTTGTTTGTTTTGGGATTTTGTTTTTTTGCACTATTGAGTTGCCTTGTCTATGAACTATACAAATCTAAACTAGTGCCACACGTCTGTTTAAATGAAAGCAGAATCAACGATGTTATGTTATAGACAGAGTTTGAAACGTTATTAGGCAAACCCCAGGAGGTGGTTTGCATTGGTAATCAATGTGTAGAACCGTAATGTGTCACAGACGGAAAGATTCTGGAAGATTCTGGCAACAAAGTTTGGATTGAAACTGTATTAACTTTATTACACCACTAAGAGTGCATAATTATACCTCTTTGTACCTCCTTTGATATTTAAACTCTTATTTTCCCTTGCAAAAATGTAGTTTAAGCATAACCTGAAATGCCCACACCCGTCCTGGGTCTTGTGGTCTTGGGTCTGTTACTCTGTGCTTCATATAATTGAATAACCTGTGTTGCCAAAATACACAATGCAAGATAATTGTAGGCGACCGACCTCAACATTTCACCTCTTTTACCATTGAAAAGCATTCTTTCATTATCAAGACCAATGTAATATTGTATTTCTCACCCGCCCTCTAATTCAAGACATTTAATTCCTATAAAATGCCAGGGTTAGGGCATGTATTAGCTTTTGGTCCTTTCTTGAATTTCAAGACACCCAAAAGTGACATTTTGATAAGGATAATAAAAAAATCCACCTCTTCACCTATAGCATCGAATAGTGACTCAAGCTCTGTCTTGGTATATAAAAAACTGTGTTCCAGAAATATGAGGACAGTTGTGGTCTGATTTGGTCACAAAATAATACGTTTTGAAGTCTCTCTTTGTGTTTTGACCACCAATTGAAAGACTTTCTACTGGCCAACATCATGCAAAAAATAATGATCTTGGAAAGCAACTCTTTTTTCAAAAATAGATTCTTTCCCTATAACCACCTTCTCTCCAACTGAAATTGACCTGTAGAACATATTCACTCAGGCTAAAATGGTTGAAACATAAACATGCATGTATGACTTCAATGCTCTGGCTGGATTGAAACAAAATACTGACAATACAAATAAATGTCAAGTACCCCAGCTTTAACTTCCACCACTGCGTATGACAGAACACTTGTTTTGTTTGTGTCTGAAAGGTTACGGCATCGGCCTGCCCCAGAACTCCCCGCTCACTTCCAACATCTCGGAGCTGGTGAGTCAGTACAAGTCGGATGGCTTCATGGACATGCTGCATGACAAATGGTACAAGGTGGTGCCCTGCGGAAAACGGAGCTTTGCAGTCACTGAGGTAAGAGCTACTAATGTAAAAGCAACGTGATGGAAGGCTTAGTGTGCCGTGAAATATGTATAACTAACACCGTACACATCTGTCAATTCAGCTAAGTGAAGCCTGCCAGTAAGTTTTTGGCAAACGTATCCGTCAAGGTAAAGCGCACACGGCGACGGGAGCATATGGCTTTTTTGGAATAGTGATTATGTGGGTGTGACAGGAGGTAATGGCTAAATTACTTTTTGGAGGAGAGATGTATTCATGATAGAAGTGTTTTGTTTCATACTGAAATGGCAGTGTTTCAGTCCTTGTGTATGGTTCAGAATATACAATTAGTCGTTGCTGTGGCTGGTAAATGATAAATGACAGTAGAAATGGTCATAGCTCATGCTACAATCAGGTTTTGTTCATGAGACATCACAACATTCCAAAGAGCATACACTTGGGAAATGAGATCAAGAGCAGCTGAAAAATGTTCTCCTTGTCAGTACATATCAACTGTGTTCGAATTCATTTCTCATAAAGGTGAGGGGGGGGGGGACATGTCTGAAAGTTCTTCTGGCCAACATCAAGCACAAGAATAATATCAAATAATGATATAGCAAGACTGTGAATCTTATCAAATAATTATATGGGAAAACACAGATTTTTTTCCCCAACACGCATGAACCTTCCCTCCGACTGAAATTGAATTCTATAACATACTGTATTTACTCAAACAAAAATGGTGGAAACATGACAGGAGTGCATGTGTATAAATGCTGTGGCTGCCTTGAAACCAGATTAAAATCACTTTTTGGATTGGCTAATTTCATGATTAATAAATTATGGATACTTTACATTGTCTACAGAGGTTATAGTTGTGAAATCTGGTAACCAAAAGTGTTCCTACGGTTTTCTCATTGGGTAATATTAGTTGGCTTGTCGTGTAGTTGTTCTTCTGGCACTGCCTCCGTTGTTGACTCTGCTTTGTTAGCATCGCCAATATTGTCCCTTGTCCACCTGGATAGAATTAAGAGTAGTGTTCATTTCCCTTTGTTTGATGAGAGTGAAAGAAATTGATTCAAACAAGGTCATTTTCCATCGAAAGGAATGAGGAGCTTCTGTGTCACTGCAAAAATGTATAACATTTAATGTAATAATATTTTGAATTGAGTGATTTTTAAATCTTTCTTTTTTTCCTCATTCCAAGGGAGACAATTCTTGTACATTTTTAAGACATAATTTTTGCTTGTCCCATTGGCCAATCTTGTTTTAAGGCAATCTAAATGTGCTATATTTGTTTTGAGTTGTTTTAACAACAAGAACGGTGTGATATTGCAGCACAAGTCAGGCCAGGCCTTCATATATACAAAGTTTTCATGCCCAGAGCCCAATATAACTTCCATTTATCAAATTACCCAATACATAAATTGAAATCCACAGACACATCCAAGTTCTCCCACCATTCCCTTAGCTCTGCCTGTTACGTCCCTGATGTGTTTTCCAGCTCTGCACAAAATGGCCTTTACCGAACACAAATGAAAATCACATTCATTCATTGTCTTTGCCCGGTCGCCATCTTCTGCTTGAGTGGATTCTTCTATTTATTATCACTGACATTTCAGCCTGCCATAAGCTGCTCATAGGGCTGTTTAATTTGAGAGCTATTAAGCACAGGTTTATGGGTTCCTTAAAAGTGGCTTGGCAGTATCATTTCTAATATATATTTATATATTAGAGGTGGTGGTGACTGCATTGTTCTACAAGCCCAGGATTCTACTCTTCCCATTTTGCCAATGGCAATGAGGGTGTTCTGCAGATGTGTTGGAGAGGCTGCTGGCATTTGCAGACATTTGAATAGCTTCAGGTTACAATTACGATCTTCAATCTCATGTTCTGACTCCAGGGGAACTCTCTGCATGGCAAGATTTGAAAACTATGTTTTACAACTATCAGAACTACCAGTGTGTTTTCAAAACTAACTTTTTCTTCTCTAAAGTTTTTTTGATACACAAAGTATGCATTGGTTATCAAGCTATACAATACAATACAATACAATTTCATCTTGTATAGCCCTAGGTCACAACAGAAGTCATCTCAGAGGACTTAACAAAACCATTGAAATCACCAACACAGGTCAGAGAATCAACAGTTAAAACACATGGAGAATATAAAGCACACACAGAAGAAAATGTCCATACATGTTGTAGAATGCTAAAGTGTCCTGATCATCACCAATCCTTTCTGTTGGACACTAACTGTCCAACAAGACCCTCCTGCATCGACAAGGAAAAACTCTTAAAAAACCCAGTGGGAAAAAGTGAGAAACATGGGGGGGGAACTAGGGAAACCCACAGGGAGGGAGACCCATATGAGAAAGGGATCCGCTCCTCCGGACGGACAGGCTAATGATCTAGGACCTAAGCTAGCTACAGGACGTGGACCAGTGGCCGCTGAACGTGGACAGGTCCGGTGCAGGACTGAAGCACTCCCAGGCGGGTCGGGCGGGGCAGTCCGCAGGTGTAGATGGAGGAGGCCAGGTCCAGAGTGTCATGGTGTGGCTTTTGATTGTGTATTTTGCTTTTATTTTGAAATGAGTTCTGTGGTTTTGTTTCAGTTTGACTTCCAGTGCTGTTTTCCCCTGTCTTGATTGTCTGCCCCGCCCTGATGTGTTTCACCTGTGTCTGTGTCTATATGTACCCTTTGCTTCTCTCCCCTTGTTGCTGCTTCATTGTTTTGTCATGTTCTGTCCTGGTTACTTTGGATTTCTGGAGTTTGTTTTTTGCCTTGGACTTTGTTTTATTAAAAGCTTTATTTTGGCACTCCTGCGTTTGAGTCCATCACTTCACCTCATGACAGAATGAAGCAGCCACTAATGGACTCAGCGGATTGCCTTTTTTCCCACAAGTTTTTTTTTTTGTGTGCCGATTGCCTTCCTCACTACCTCTTGCACCTGTTACCTGGAACCACCGCCAGGCAAGAAACTCCGCCTGGGGTGGTTATTCGTCTTGCACCACCGCCGGGCATTGATGTCCGTCCGGGGTGGTCCTCTGTTCCCTCTGCCCGTCCTGCTGAGAGGTATCCAGTGGAGTTCTGCACCGGTTTTCACACCCTCGGTCTGCTGTTCTACGGTGACCTGTCCTTCCCTTGTCTCTTGCCGCCGCCAGACATTACCTTCGTCTGGGGTGGTTCTGCCCCCAGCCTGAGTCACCGCCGGGCATATGTCTTCGTCCGGGGTGAGCCAGCTCCTTACTCTCCAGACCTTCGGGAAGGTTGCCACTGGACTTCAGCTCCTGTCCCTGATCGGTTCCGTACTACTGACCTGTCTCTGGCCCATCCTCCAGACCCCCGCCACCCCCCTGGCTCGTGTTTGTTTTTAGGGACATCTGGGAGCTGTCCCTTGGAGGGGGGGTACTGTCATGGTGTGGCTTTTGATTGTGTATTTTGCTTTTATTTTGAAATGAGTTCTGTGGTTTTGTTTCAGTTTGACTTCCAGTGCTGTTTTCCCCTGTCTTGATTGTCTGCCCCGCCCTGATGTGTTTCACCTGTGTCTGTGTCTATATGTACCCTTTGCTTCTCTCCCCTTGTTGCTGCTTCATTGTTTTGTCATGTTCTGTCCTGGTTACTTTGGATTTCTGGACAGAGGTCCCGTCATCATACCATGAAACAGACAATGGGACAACGGGTGAATAGCAATGAACAAACTACAGTCAAAATCCTAAAAATGCTAAACAGATAAAGTAGGAAGGAGGAGAGGATAGTGCTCAAGTTACCATACTTCTCCCAGCAAACTGACTCCCTATGCAGCTTGACTGACACTCTGAGGAGTTTAACCTTCTCTGAGTCTTACCTTCTTAGCCATATGCTAAACTAAAGAGGACTGTTTTAAACCTAGCCTTGAGCTATGATAGTAATGGGACTGTCGCGATATTACCTGAGCTCAATGTGCCTGATAAGCGCTGTGTCAGAAAAGCCAAAATCAGTCAGTTTACTGTTATAAACAAGGATCGTAAATTGTCACCATCCTGATCATGATGTAGATGATGTAGACATCCAAGTTCTCCCACCATTCCCTTAGCTCTGCCTGTTACGTCCCTGATGTGTTTTCCAGCTCTGCACAAAATGGCCTTTACCGAACACAAATGAAAATCACATTCATTCATTGTCTTTGCCCGGTCGCCATCTTCTGCTTGAGTGGATTCTTCTATTTATTATCACTGACATTTCAGCCTGCCATAAGCTGCTCATAGGGCTGTTTAATTTGAGAGCTATTAAGCACAGGTTTATGGGTTCCTTAAAAGTGGCTTGGCAGTATCATTTCTAATATATATTTATATATTAGAGGTGGTGGTGACTGCATTGTTCTACAAGCCCAGGATTCTACTCTTCCCATTTTGCCAATGGCAATGAGGGTGTTCTGCAGATGTGTTGGAGAGGCTGCTGGCATTTGCAGACATTTGAATAGCTTCAGGTTACAATTACGATCTTCAATCTCATGTTCTGACTCCAGGGGAACTCTCTGCATGGCAAGATTTGAAAACTATGTTTTACAACTATCAGAACTACCAGTGTGTTTTCAAAACTAACTTTTTCTTCTCTAAAGTTTTTTTGATACACAAAGTATGCATTGGTTATCAAGCTATACAATACAATACAATACAATTTCATCTTGTATAGCCCTAGGTCACAACAGAAGTCATCTCAGAGGACTTAACAAAACCATTGAAATCACCAACACAGGTCAGAGAATCAACAGTTAAAACACATGGAGAATATAAAGCACACACAGAAGAAAATGTCCATACATGTTGTAGAATGCTAAAGTGTCCTGATCATCACCAATCCTTTCTGTTGGACACTAACTGTCCAACAAGACCCTCCTGCATCGACAAGGAAAAACTCTTAAAAAACCCAGTGGGAAAAAGTGAGAAACCTTGGGGAGAACTAGGGAAACCCACAGGGAGGGAGACCCATATGAGAAAGGGATCCGCTCCTCCGGACGGACAGGCTAATGATCTAGGACCTAAGCTAGCTAC